CGCCTCGAGTGCCTCTTCGTTGTCGGTCCAGATATCAATATGTCGCTGCCCAATGTATTCCTCGGTGTCAGCATGGCCTGATAAAACCTCTATGGCGCTCATCACTACAAACGACTCCATCTTGTTTGATATCACTTTGAAATAATACTCTTCCGGATTTCTTAAAAGCTTTCGGTGCTCCATGGATCCTTTTTCTGGAACTGGCAAGTAAGTTGCAGTGGGACGATTTGGGATGAATCCAGCATATGCATATTGACTGAAGTTAACAGCCGCATGGTTTGCAGTCGTGATCCATATGAAAGTTGTCAGTGCCACCGTCAGGCCCAGTTTGGAGTCCATCTTGAACCATGTCGGGTCGTCCTTCAGATCGCCATGCCCAACGTTCACCACCTCACTCCACCAAGCTTGGAGCTCGGCATCGTTCTGAACTGTGGCATCGTCTTTGTAGTGTACGTCCACATATTCCTGGGTCCATTTCGTCAGCGCAGACCATATCTCGAGACCATCTGCCGCATATGGATAATCCTCAATGACGAGCTTCATGCCGTGTTTTGCAGCAGGATCCGGAACAGCCATCCCTCTGTTTTGAAGAGACCAATGTTAGAAGGATGTATAGTGCAAGGCCTTACCTTTTTATAAGGTCTGCAAGGAGGCCTTCCATGGCAAACTTCCACGACTTGTAGGCCTGAGACGTCAACTCCATGCAATACATTTTCGGGGTGAAGCCTTGCTCGGCAATTCCTGACGCACTAATAAGTAGTTGCCTATCAAGTGCATTGATCTGCAATGTGTACTTCATGTGTGGCTTCAGGAAGGCAAAGATCGGATGAAGGGCACTCAGCTGCCTGTGCGCCGCAATGATAAACGGCTCCATACATGCATGGCACTTGAGCCTGTATACCTAAGTTAGTGATACTCAGTTCGGGGCAAACTTTTCTCACTCCATACCAGTGGCCAACAAGCTGGTGAGCTCCTGAATCGTTTGCTGCTGTGTGTGCTTTTGCGAGCTCCCACAAATAGTCGGTCTCTCCTTCTTCGGGTGGGACGAGGACTCTCCTTGAACTGGGAGTGCTCAGCTCAATGGCGATGGGCTTGAGCGTTCCATCCCCCCTGAGGAACAGGAATGTCCTGGTTGCATACATGTAGATGTCTGGGATCTTGTTGATCCTTTCAATGTAAGGCATGAAGATGTCGTGAAGGTCCACCAAAAACAGCTTTTTGTTTGCGACTGCCTGCAAGCATCCTCTCGAGAGACATGTAAGTAACAAGTGACTTCACTGATGAGATCGCTTCAGACCTCTTGCACTGTCGTCCCCTCCAAGAAACGAGAGATGTGTTCCTCTGTTACAGTTGATTTCCTTGAGCCATACTCATCACCCAGGCCGCTGGTTGGAGGGAATTCCTGAGTACAAGGCGATGTTAAGAATGTGATGGAAACACCATTGTTGTCTACCGTTAGGCATTGTATCAAGATTGGATGTGTTCCAGCCAGCAGTTGCCTCGCATACTCCCGATCAGATCTCCATGCCTGGCGATCAGCTGACAACGGCGGAGAAGTTTACAGAAGTGGACATGTTAGTGGTGCATTGCTTACTTTCTAGAACTGCAGGAATGGGAAACTTGAGCAAGCTCTTATTGGTGTGATCAGTCGACAGATCGTTGAGTATGTCCAACGGCGAGTCTATCCCTTCGATTGCTCCCAAGGCCAGCTTCGACAGGTCAAACCCGCGGTCGTACAGGCTCTCTACGTCCTGAAACGAATCAAAGTATTTGTCCAAGAGCCCTCCAAACGATGTTAGCGTGGGAATAAACGTGTGAGAGAAGCTCCTGACGGTCTGCACAAGGACGCTGGCGGTCTTGGACGAGCTGTAATACTCATCACTGGGAATGTAGAAAAACGGTATAGGAAATAGGTTCTGACCGCCTGGATACGTTTCCTCTGTTGGTTTCACAATCAAAAGCACAGTATTAGAAATGTATCGAACTGTGGGTTACCTCCCAGAAGGCCTTGAATGCGACCCGTACGACACCTTCGCGGGTATGGCATTTCCTTGGATCCCCCCAGCTTTGGTCTCCCAATGCCTCCCAAGTCATTGTAAATGTCGTAGTCGTAAATCCTTTCCGAGTGTTGCCGGATGCCCGTACCATTGCCCTGGAGCTGCTTGAGGTCGGCTTCGCGGTAGGGTACTAGAGACGGCGGTGTGTCCTGTGGCAGGTACAGCTGCGAGAAACAAGAAATTGTTGTATACGTTTGTTTGCAAGCTTTCAGACAGATTCTATCCCTTACGTGGTTGCTGAAGAAGATGCGATTTGGCTTTGGGACCAAATCGAAGCCACTGCTCCTGTACACCCACGAGTTGCAGGGGAACTGAACTTTGCTTCCCCTGGGCATTCTGACGGACAGGGAGACGAAATAGATCTCAGAGCTGTGGTTGTTTTGAACCACGACTGCCCCAGGGGTACCAAAATCAGCGTCCACTTCGAAGTTTATGGTATACTTTACTTCATCCTTTGCAAGCAAGCTTGACGAGAGGGTCCAGTTCTCGATGCGTGCGGGCTTGCTGAGTTTAGGCTCTGCAAGGGAAACAACGAAAGATTAATGATCATTTCCCCTCGGGCTTTTTAGTACTAGCTTCCATCACTTGAAGTTGAAGTGATGCTGATAAGCTGAAGGATGACCTTGAGGCCAATTGCCTCACTCACAGCATCCGTGACTACTCCCAAAGGATTCACAATATCAAAACTATTTTGCTTCTTTACCAAGAGAGATCCTTTCAAGATGATTGCATGGCCTGTCAGATTCACTTTCTGTTGGATAGCAGGAAAATTTGAGGGGAACATAGATGTTGTGGCTAAAACAAGTGTCGATGCAAAATCCATGTGAGAATAAAAGAAATAATTACACAGGTTGAAAGAGTTGAGTTTCAAATCAAAACCTCTATATGTTTTTATACTAAGGATTGCATATAAAAAAAGTGTGCCTAGAAAAGGATTTGTGCACATGGAGGTCCCTCCGAAGTACTGTTATTTAGGCTTTATATATAATGGCTTGACAACTATTCACCAAAGATGTACGTGCATTGAAACAAACAAACATTGTTATCACCCTAGTACTGGTGGCCAGATACATGCAATCCTTGATATAAAGAAATATAAAGGTTTTAATTTAAAACTCAAGCTCTTTCAATTTGTGCAATTAGTTTTTTCTCACCTTGGATTTTCTATTGGCACTTGTTTTGGCCACAAAATCTATGTTCACCTCAGATTTCCTTGCTATCCAGCAAATAGAAGATGTTTATTTTTTAAAGTTGTTTTACCCTTTTCCAATTATTCAGTTAGATTGTCAACAGCGGACTACATGAGTGGATGTTGTAATTCAATATAACAAGCCATATACACCAACTTCTTTTGAGCCTGAGACACACACACACATTGTCTCCAAGATAGACCATTAATTGTGACATTGAAGGATGACCTTGAGGCTAATTGCGTCACTCACAGCATCTGTGACAACATCAAGAATATTTTGCTTCTTTACAAAGAGAGATAATGTTAATGTGATTGCATGGCTTGTCAAATTGACTTTTGGCTGGATAGCAGGGAAATCTAAGGGGTAGGCTGAAACAAGTGTTAATGGAAAATCCATGTGAGAATAAAAGAACTAATTGTTTATATTTTTCTATACTAAGGATTGCATATAAAAAACATATGCCTAGAAAAGGAATTATGCACATCATGTCAAATCAAAACTTCTAAATTTTTTTATACCAAGGATTGCATATAAAAAAGCATATCTAGCCACCAGTACCTAGCCACCAGTATTAGGGTGATAACAATGTTATGTCTTAATCCACGTACATCTTTGGTGAATAATCATCAAGCCATTGTATATAAGTTCCAAAGAACAGTATTTGGGCCTTTAGTTTTGGCATTTTAAATATCGAAACTCAAGCTGTGCAATTAATTTTATTCTTCCATGGATTTTCCATCAGCACTTGTTTCAGCCACAGAATCTATATTTCCCTTAGATTTCCCTGAAATAGAATTTTTTAAAAACTTTTTTACCCTTTTCCTATTATTCAGTTAGGTTATCAACAGTGGACTATATGAGTGCATGTTCTAATTCAATATAACAAGACATACACACCAACTTCTTTTGAGCTTGAGCCACACACATTGCTCAACCTTGTTGTCTCCAAGATAACCCACTAATTATGACATTGTGTCCACAACTGATGAGCTGAAGGATGATCTTGAGGCTAATCGCCTCACTCACAGCATTTGTGACTACTCCTAAAGGATTCACAACATAAAAAATATTTACTTCTTTACAAAGAGAGATCTTTTCAAGGTGATTGCATGGCTTGTCAAATGGATTTAATGTAGTGAAGCTGTCTACAAAATATAGAATAATGTCTTGAGAAAATAGCTGCTTGACTAAAACGTTATTGTTTTAAAACACCATTCCAAACTCAAGACTAGAAAGGCCAAGAGTGATAAAAATATTCCATTACATCTCTCATATACTAATGTAAAACTATTTTCCAAGATGTATTATTTTCTTATACTTTTTAATTGGGTACAACAAGATATGAGAGAGAGAGAGAGAGATTTGTGTAGTAGTCCCTCCCAAGAATTGTTATTTGGAACTTATATAATGCCTTGACAACTATTCACCAGCAATGTACCTACAATGAGACATATACAGGTTGTTATCACCTTAGTACTAGGGTGATAACATACATATTAATGCTATTCAGAGAAGTGGGTGATGATTCGGTGCCATATCAATTTGTAAGAGGCTTTTCTTCTGTCCAGTTAGGAGTGTTAACACTTTTTCATATCGCACGTTTTTAACATGTGTATGAGACATACAATTCAACTTCTCTCTACACGTTGTTATCATCCTCGTTGTCTCCAAGATAAACCACTAAGTTTGTTGCTGTGAGTGAAGACAGTCAATATAAATTCCTCTACTCTAAAACGGTGCACATTGCAAAATGGCTCCCTACCCCTACTTCCTTTTGCTGGTTTTCGTTTTGCAAGTGACTCAACAGTTCCAATTCTCAGCTCTGGAGCTCCCATCCGAGCAGCTTGTGAGGCCACTCTTTGATAGATGGCGTCTCTATCACAACAAGGGGTATTCATCCCAGGAGGAGGAGGCTAGAAGATATGAAATCTTCAAGAAAAACCTCCAAATGGTATTAGATCACAATGCCAACAGTCTTGTGTCCTCATACACCCTGGGCCTGAATCAATTTCAGACATCAGTAGTGACGAGTTTGAAACGAAAATGTCCCTCGGTGTCAATGACATTAGGTTCCCTGTAGCCACATCCTTTCTAGACGATTTTGCTGATGGTGACTCTAAAAGTCTCGAATCTTTTGACTGGAGGGAGAGGGGTGCGATCACTCCTATTAAAAACGTTGGATCCTGTCTGGGTATGTTGATGAATTTCTTTTTTAAATAATAGTTTTCCTTACAGGAGGTACTTGGGCTTTTGCAACAGGAGACTCACTCTCAAGTCTCAATAAGATACTCTTTGGAGGTCTAGCTAATTTTTCAGCGCAGGAGTTTCTAGATTGCACTAAGAAAGCCAAGGGATGCAGAAGTGGCTTTCCCAGTGACGCTTTCGAATACGCACGGACTCATAGCATTGCAGCAGCAGCTGATTATCCCTTTGTTGGGGAAGCTGGGGCTTGCAAGCAGAAGGTATGAATTTATTACAATGCCGCTATTAGAAGCTTTGCGAATTTGCAGGAAAAACAAGGCAAAGTTTCTCTAAAAGAATTTGAGAGCATTGAAGGAACAGACAAAGCAATCGAAAGAAACATGTTGAAGGCAGTACGCAATCAGCCACTGACTGCTGTTATCGATGGCTCAAAGGCCGAGTTCAAGAGCTATGCTGGAGTAAGTTTGTTCTAATCCAAGTCTATGATCACATTGACTAATGACGTGCCTAATCCGTCCTAGGGGATTTACAAAGGACCCTGTGCCGAATCTGGAAGTTTATCAGTGCTGGTTGTGGGCTATGGTTCCGAAAATGGAGACAAATATTGGATCATAAAAAATTCGTGGGGAACTGAGTGGGGGGAGAATGGATACATGAAACTAGAACGCAATTCGAATATCTTTGGTGGACGGTGTGGATTTACATAAACGTGTTTTATCCCACAGAGCTAGGGCCCCCTCCGTCACATTTTCCTCCACCACCACCACCACCTTCACCGTCTCCACCGCCACCTTCACCATCTCCACCACTGCCTCCGCCAAGGCAACGCTGCTATACGCAACTAGGCAAGGCAGGAGAAGAATGTTGCTGTTACTGGGCTCCATGTAAGTTCTTCCACATTTGCTGCCCAAAAGGCAAGTGTGGAATTACCATCTTTTACCCATGCAAACTTATATGAAAAGGGGCTTTGAGCAATAAACACAGCTGCTAGCCATGAAACATTGGCTTCCAGAGCTTCCCAAGCTGGTCCTAGACAAGTTCTCCAAGCAGTGTGTGGAGTATTACTTGCAATTGAGGAATGGCCACACATTGTAGTGGCTCACCAGCATAGTGGTTTCGTGCACAAAGCCCAGCACTGTCGAAATGGACAGCTCTTTTGTCGAAGTATACACTTTCTATAACATGATCTTAGGTGGCAATAGTGCCACTTCACTGATCCAGGTGTAGGCTAGAGGCGTGTCTCTTGACCATGTATATATATCTATAATATTATATATGACTATCCTTCGAGTCATCCTTGTCCATCGTAGCTTTTGCATTTCTCTTCACCTTTCAACCATGTGCAAAATTAACAAGATCAGTACTTGAACTCGCTTTTGCTAGCATGCCAATTGGTTTGTTCTTTAACCAGAATTTGCTAAAGAGGTAAGATTTATCAAGCTGCAGCTCGTGTTTCCAAGGAGGATGCCATTGCAAATATGAAGAAGGCTCGTTTTGCTCCAATATTTTTGCAGCAAAGGTGAGTAGATTGTGTGTTTCCTTTGAGCTTTTTGGTTGTCATTCTGATTGATCTCTTGCAGTACCAACGAGAAGTATAACTTCAGCAAAAAGCTTAAAAGATGAACTACTTTTCTGCGAAGTATTCAAAGGACTCGTCTGGTACGTATCCAGATGGGGAATACATCCATGGTCTGTTGTACTTGCCTCGCGAGGAGTTTATGCTGCCGAACGTGAGAATGTGTGGCTCCGGTTTATGCGACTCTTCTTCCAGAGCTTGATCCGAATCGTTGCTGGAGACAGTGCTCTAGCCTGGACCGAGAAGGACGTTCGCAACATTATCAATGCCAGGATCAAAGCTGCATTTTTTGGCATGTATCCAGCTTCGTCTGTCGATCTTGTGATATCTTGTTGCGATCTAAGAAGTAAGCAGCGAAAGATTGATGTCCTTCCCAGCAAACACAACCACAGTTGTTTTGTTGCAAGAAACCATTTGTTCGAGTGCTTGAGGAAGTGGCGACTGCTATTGCTGGTGACAAGATTGGGGACAACAAATCCCTGGATCCGGATGCTTTGCGTGCTGCCATGGAAGAGATTATTGACACATCACTGGACGCTGCAGTGTAAGTCTCAACAATTCTATTGAATTCATGAGTGCGTTTCCTTGTGTATCCAAGCAGTTCTTACAGAGCTGGAGGAATCATGGTGCATGGAGCGTTAACGCTGGACCTTTACAAAATCATAAAACAAAATACTACTCCAAGGGTTGCTATATCACCTCATGAAGTTTATGAAATGATAATGCATTATCAAAGTGGAACGCCAAGGTTAGCTGGAGGCGATGATGATCATCTTGAGAGCTTACTAGCTGACGCTGAAGTAAATCTTATTCTTTCCACATTTTTGGAACCTTGTGGCTCTGATTAATTATCTTTCATCTTTTTTGTTTTGTCTTAAATGTGTCGGCAGGACTATTGATGACTCTGATGAAACTCAAACCGAGCATGGCTTCCAACGACTTCAAGGATTAAGGACTCTGGCTACGGTTTTGAGAGTGGAATGTACATCGGTAAGTCTTGAAGTTTGGAATGTTTAACTCTTTAACCAGAATACTGCTACCAGAGATGAGATATATCAAGCTGGAGCTTGTGTTTCCAAGAAGGATGGCATTGCAAATATGAGAAATGGTTGTTTTGCTCCGATCATTCTGCAAGCTTGGTATATGGTCAAAGTGGAGAAACAATCGAGTTGTGAAAGTGTGAACTCTCACATCCGGCAGCGTTCCCATGGACGTACTCCCCGTCTGGATACGATTACAACGTGAATAGAAAATGATCGCTCGATATCATGGAATATGATTTTTCAAATAATACGGAAAGGACAGTGGCTTATTCTATAGAACATTTTGGTAATTAAATTCACGTTTAGCGGTTAGGTTAAGGCTGTCGCGAGGAATCCCAACCGTCCGTTGTCGACGTCCTTTATATGAATAGCTGTGTCTCTTCATGGTTTGTTCTTGCGATGCCCGCAGCTCATCTGGATGTCGATCTCACGCCACAATCTCCCAATGCGAGATTCTGCGCCAACGATGGCGGGAATTACGAGTTTTGGCTCAGCGCCCACTCCAAGATGTTGAAGGAAGCTCGGGTTGGGGTCGCCGAAATCGCCGATTCTAATCAGATCTTTTATGTGCTCGAAGGTAAGCGATTGATTTTCTAGGATGTGAATTTTTTTCTCATGCATGCTAAATTCCGGTCTTCGTCCAGGAATGGTAAAGTAGGACTGACTTTTGCGGAGAGTCCCGGCGGATGCGTCTGTTCCTCACGGCACTGTCAACTGGTGGTTTAACTCTGGCACTTCGAAGTTTAGTGTTTTGTGTCTCGCAGACACGAGCAAAAGCCTCAAAGCTGGAGAATTCACTGTAAGTTCTTCTTGGATTTTCTTTTTTTCTTTTTTTGGTCTTGTTGTGACACACTGATAAATCAATCCGCTTGTAGGATTTCTTCCTGGTCGGTCCTGGTAGCGGTGGACTTCTCAAAGGTATACTCCGGACTTCATCGCCCAAGCATGGGATGTCCCAGAAGAAACGGTGAATACTTTGCTCCATAGCCAGAAGGAGGAGAGGATTGTTTTGCTCAAGGAAGGCATTTGTATACCGGAGACAACCGATTTGAGCAACTCTCCCTATGGAGAGTTTGCTTACAACTGCGAGGAGGCAAAGCTCGACGTGGATATAAAAAACGGAGGCAGAGTTTCCGTTGTTTCCAGCGATAGCTTGCCGATCTTCAAGCACGTCGGTCTTGGTGCTGATCTCGTCAAGCTTGATCCGGTAAGTTTTAGCTGATCACTTGGATCTTATAATCACATTCGTGAATTTCTTGCAGCATGCGATGTGCTCGCCAGCCCGACTCCGCGTACCAAGTCACTTACATTGTCCGTGGAAGCGGTCGAGTCCAAGTCGTGAACCAAAATGGCGAGAGAGTTATTGATCATATGCTGGAGCCCGGCTGCCTGTTTATCGTCCCACGATTCCACGTCGTCTCAAAGCGAGCAGGAGAAAATGGAATGGAATGGTTCTCGATCATCACCACCGAGAAGTAAGTTCTCTTCTTTTCCTTCAGAGGTTCTGATCGACCCAATTTTTTGCTGGAAAAACAGGCCAGTGTTCTCTCATCTCGCTGGAAGAACTGGCGTGATCAAGAGCTTGTCGCCCAAAACGATTTGCGCGGCTTTTAACGTGGAAGATGGAGTTGAGAAGGAGCTGCGGCCTCGCAGGACAAACGACGCCATCTTCTTCCCACCCAAATAAGATGAGCCCACCTAGTCAATGCAAGTCAATACAGAGTCAACTCTGGCAATGCGCAATAAAAGTATTCAAAGCTCATTGATTCCAAATAAATTCTAGGGTTTATCATCGCATCGCATCTCGCGCGCGAGGGCGCTGCTTCGCCCTGGCCGATCCGGTAAGCTGCTAGAATGAGATTCTCGGCAATGTAGGACGGAGTTCAGGACATGATTTCTATCATCGGGGATTGCCAAACTCTAGAACAAACGGGATGGAAAGAACAGGAGCAAACACTCTCTTCACGATGTCTCGAATCAACGAAGGAAGAATTTCGAATGCTTTGATGCTGGAAGGTAGAGCCAAACATTTTTTATCCTAGTGACAAAACCATTCGCTATGCTGTCCAGGACGTCGCTGGATCCTAAAGTTCTCACAGGCGATACGAGAACTTATGGTACTACCGGCAACGCTCATCAGCTCGAGAGAAGCGCTTGCCTCGCGGCGCTAAAGTCGTGCTCCAGAGCTAGAGACGTCGAAAGTGGCCGGCAAATCCACGCGAACGCGAGAGAAAGTGGTGTGGATTCGGACTCTCACGTAGCCAGTAGCTTGGTGGCGATGTACATGAAGTGTGGTAGCGTGGTGGAAGCACAGCAGGCCTTCGACAGGATTCCTCGCCCCGACGCAGTGTGCTGGAACGCTTTGATCTTGGGCTATGCGGAGAATGGCGAGGCCGAGGTGGCCTTGCAGCTCTTTCGATCGATGCAACAGTGCTGCGGAGCAAACTCACGAACTTTTGCCGCTGCGCTCGCTGCGTGCTCCACTCTCGCAGCTGCCGAAGAAGGCCGGAAAGTTGATGGGAGGATGGTGAAAGTTTTTTCGCTGCAACGAGGCATAGAAGTTCATCGTCAAGCCGAGGCTGGGATGGGAATAGATGCTATCCATCGCAACGGCTACGTGGGGAATGCTCTCATCGACATGTACGTGAAGTGCCGGAGCATGGTGCTTGCTCAAGAGGTTTTCGACAGGATGAAAAGTCGGGATGTGGTCTCGTGGAACGTTTTGATGCTCGGCTACGCACAGGGTGGTGAGAGCGAGGAGCTAGCTCTCGAGATGTTTACGAAGATGGTGTCGTCCCGAGGCTGTCAACTCGATAGCTGGAGTGTTGTTGCTGCTCTCAAGGCCTGTAGCAATCTCGCAGCCAAGGAAGAAGCTCGGAATCCACAGGAGAAGCTCAGGTTTCTAGTCACGGGTGTGGCGATCCACGGCACGGCCGAGAGACTGGGATGTGACTCAAATATATTCGTGGCCAACGCTCTTCTCAACATGTACGCAAACTGTGGAAGCATGGTGGATGCGAGGAGAGTTTTCGATAAGATGCAGCGCCGGGATGTGGTTTCCTGGAACACGATCATCCTGGGCTATTCTGAGAACGATGAGGGAAAGATGGCCCTTCAACTCTTTGGAGATTTGCTACACTCTCGGTGCTGCGTACAGGACAGGCTGACTTTGGTGGCTGCGCTTAAGGCTTGTTGTACCCTCTCGACTCAAGAACAGGGAAGGCAAGTCGATGGGAAGATCGTGAAGCTGAGTTCGCTGGAAGCAGGAATGGCGGTACATTCTCTGGTATCAGAGCGAGGCTTTGATCTGGAAGACTTGTACGTGGCAAACTGCTTGGTCGACATGTATGGGAAGTGTGGGAGCATGGCCGATTCTCGCAGAGTTTTCGACCGTGTGAAGCATCGCGACGTTGTTATCTGGAACGCAGTGATCTCGGGATACGCACAGAACGACGAAAGTGAGGCTGCTCTAGAGCTGTTTGAGGCTCTCTTGTGCGAAGGTGTTTCTCCAACGAGCTTGACAGTCGTTGCGGCTTTCAAGGCTTGCGGCAGTCTCGCAGCTAAGAACAAGGAAAGCGATCGAATGAGAGCATTGGAAATCACCATGGCTGTTCATTGTGAAGCTGTGACGAAGTTGGAAGCGTCCGAGTGGGACGCTTACATGACGAGCAGCTTGATCGATGCGTACGCCAAGTGTGGGAGTCTGGCGGATTCCAGCAAAGTTTTCTCGAGCAATACCGGCCAGCTTCGCAACGTGGTCTCGTGGAACGTTTTGATCCTGGGCTTCGCGGAGAATGGCGATGCTAGACGAGCTTTGAGGCTGTTCCACAGGATGAGACGCGAAGGCTGCCGACCAAACGCATCAACGTACGTCGCGGTGCTGAAAGCTTGCAGCAGCAGTATTCCTTCCAGTCTAGACCTTGGGAGCGAAGTCAAGGCTCTGATCTACCGTGGAGGCTTTGAGGAAGATGGAGTTTTGGCTGGATCCCTGGTTGACTTTCACGGCAAAGCGGGAGACATGGTTTCCGCTCGCCAGGTATTTGACTCCCTACCGGGAGATGGTGACGAGGCCTGGAGTGCGCTGATCGCCGGATACAGCAGGCAAGGGGACGCAAGCCAAGCGCTGACGCTGTTTCACGAGATGGTAAACTCTGGCATCAAACCGAATGGTATCACAGCTCTCGCAGTTCTAACCAGCTGCAGCCATGCTGGTTTCGTCGAGGCAGGGAAGAAGTTCTTCCACGAAATGCCATCCAGATACGGCATCGTCCCCGAAGTGGAACACTTCCACTGCGTTGTCGATCTTCTCAGCAGAGCAAACCAGCGGGAAGAAACTCTCGCGCTGGTTCAAGGTATGACGAAGAGCTGGAACTTTGAAGCTAACGAGGTAACTTGGACTACCATTACAGGCACTCGCGGAGTGGAATCCAGGAGTGGAGACGCTACGCTTGTCGCGGAGCAAGAATGGCCGTTGTGATGCATGAAAGCTCTCCCGTTTCGTTTCATGTCTCCCAGTCTTCAGAGTCTTCAAGCATTATGTCGGACAAATTCTGCTGAAAATGCGATTTTATTTTTTTATTTTTTATTTTTTGTCAGCGTCTTCTAAACAACAAGAAAAACTTGCTAGCATAGCCTAGCATAGAATTAAATATATGTTCAGTTTCTTCTAAATACCCACTCTTGGTGATCAAACATTTTGTTCATGTAGCATAGAATCTCACTAAACCGTGTCCCGCATTCGATCAAAGGCAGAATACATTAGTTTACTAATTCAATTTATACAATACATTTTTGTGACGAACACGATTTTCTCAAAGTACTCACGAGGAACTACACCGTCCAAGCCTTCAGTCGTTTCTGGACATGAAGAATCCTTCATGGCTTTGGCCAAATCCAAGTATATGAGCACCTCCATTTGCTTGAGGCAAATCCGTTGCAAAGTGTATATGGTTCCTCTACATTAGCTTGAGACCTGAAAAGGTGAAGTTTAAATCTGCAGAGTTCCAGCTTCTCTTTTGTTAATGTTACAGCTTGATGCCTTAAATAACCATTTGGGTTTGCAAATGCAAAGTTAAAAAATTTAACACAATAGCATGACAACTACTTATTGTCAATAACACAACAACACAAGTCATTCTTCTTTTCATTTGCCCAAAGTGTGTATAGTTTTATGATAAAAATAATGAATATTCTAAGAATATATCAAGTGGCAGTGGATTTGAAGTCTTGAGATTTTCCTTGTTATATTAAACATTCAAATCCTTATTAATCAGTCTACTGCTGCAGCTATTGAGAAGAGAGCTAAAAGAGGATAAATGATTTTTCATCTAAAATTTATTTTGGAGGGAGGTACTATTTAATACACGAAAAAGGTCAGTATGATAAATTGTCTATTAGACAAGAAATTTAGTCAATATTATTCTGTTTAGCTCTAAAAAAACTTATTTATTATAAGTTGGTAGATGTCAAGAGAGTGAACTTAAAACAAAAAAAATTAATCTGCACATGTGTAAATATATAATGCATGCATATTCATTGCCATAGATCAAGGACAAATCATGGAAAAGTTGCAAAAATATTATGCACACAATCACTTTTAAATTGTTATATAAATGATCAAAACTTGATTATGTGCATTATCATGGAATATGCCATGTATGCATGGGGTATGACACCTCAGATTGCCATGCAAGATTGATGCCATGTCATCTCATACAACATAACATCATTATAAATTTAGTGAGGTTTTTTTCTCTTTATTTTTGTGTCATTAAATAGAAGTTTATAATCTCCTGATTATGACAATTTCTCTCCTCCTTTGTAAGCACACTATTTACCTCTCATTTTGTGCAACTATACTTTATCTTTTGCCACTTGGAGGCTTATTTCAATTTTAGTATGCTCTAATATAAGCACTATATTTTGATTGCTCTTACAAATGCCTTTTATTTTTTGCAACTTGTTTGCAATGTGATGCATTAATCTAGGTAGTGATTGATTGACACGAAAATGAACACAATCAATTGGAGTGGAAAGGCAAGCATAAATCTTTTCTTTGGGTGTTTAGGGTGTTAAGTATGATGGCTTTTTAATAAGCAAGTGAATCATGTTGTAGTAATTTAGTTTTGCTTCAATTTTTGGTGTTTCTAATCATGTGTGTAGGTTTTTGGCATTATAATGGTTTATTATGCTTAAGTGTGTTGCAAAGGAATAATATAAACCTTTCTTTCTTAAATTTTTAAATTTTTGTTTTAACTTTATGGTTTTTGCAGTGATTGTGTTTAGGAGTGAGGAGTATTGCAATATAACATTTGCACTTAAGTAAATAAACAATTTGTATCCATTTTTTTTCAATGTACACATTAATGTATATGTTTTTCATTCTAAATTCTTTACATGGCCAATGAGTTTTGCATTCGTATGAATAATGCACATCTAGAACATAACTATAATGTGGCAATTTACTAATTTTCTGGGCTTAAAGGCTTATATCATTTTGCTGACATAGTCACAAAAGTGCTTCAACCACATACCAATGGCAACTTTATCCTACAATATCCAAAAAGAACTCAAAATTTGCAATCACACTCGCAAACCCTAACCCAAAGTCTAATATATCATAAAATCTGATGTGAGTCAAAATTTATGCAACACAAAAAATTGCATGATCTTGCTATACATATGTGGCAACACTAATGCATATCTATATCTTTAAAAAACAATTTGTGTTTAAAATATTATTTTGTGAGTCATATATGTATATTACAATAATTCAAACACACATGCATTTTTATTTTATATAATTTGCAATTTTGTATAATTTTTTGCCATACTACCCACCCTAGGTATACCTCCTCCAAACAATTTCCATTTGTCATATTTATCTGCATGAAAAAAACGAAGAAAAAAACTTGGAGGAGTAATTATTATTATTATTATTTAATAATTAAAATATAAGATAATAATAATTGTATATTTTATTATTATAAAGAACATAAAACATGATTTGAAGTTTCTGATGCCCATAAAATTTTATTTGGATATTTAGTTTCATAGAGAACCATATTACAATTATTTTGAATAGAAAATATTGTTGGTAGCAAACAAAATGGTTGTTTTAAGCAATATGTGTTAGTAGCCCATAAAACACTTTTACCATGATATAAAACTAGATTGCCATCGTTTTGTAAAACTAAAATACAATTATATAAATTATTTTTAGATATATTTATCTCCCAAATCACATAGAGTTTTGAATACAACTTAAGATTACAATTTGATTCCAAAATTAAGACATTTTTAGTATTTGAAGAAACTAAAAAATTACTAGTATAAAGTATTGATTTGGTAAAATAAAGACTACTTACATCAAAATAGCAAAAGGAATATAATTTATTATAAGGAAATTGAAATTTTGGATAATAATTTTGTAAATAAAGTTCTGTATCCTTAATTAAACTATATTGTATCATAAAATTTATAGTCTCACTTTTAAAAAAATTTGAAAGATTTATATGTATATCATTGAAGTTATTATGTAAAATATTTTCAAAACCTTTTATTATACTTTCACCATAGAATGTTGTTTTATCAGAACAATCTTTTTTAGCTTTAATAATTAAATTAACAATTCCTTTTGATGTGGATATTTCTATACTATCACTATAACTTGCCGGATATGTATATGCAATTTCTAATTTATTTATTAATTTATAACAAGTTGCAATTATTTGTGCAATATCATGTGAATTTAAAATTCTAAGGTTTCCAAATGATGTATGATATTGTGCTGCATATATAAAATAAAATTTTAAAAAAATCAAAATTATTAAAATTAAAATCTTAATTTTGAAAAACATTATGTTAAAAAAAGTTATATTATTAAGCTTTAAAATTGAGATTTTTATATTAAAGTGCTAGAATAGATTTATACTTTTACTTTAACTTTTATTTTAATAGTTTATGCTAGGAATACTTTAATATATTTACTTTACTTTTATTGCTATACATATATTTCTTTTTCTATTCCTAAAATATTTAAGTACCTTGATCCAAAGGACACTCAAATAGACACTTTGGTATTGGTCCAAATCAATTTCAGTGCAAAATACTTACATACTAAAGATTGTACTCATTGTTAATATATGTCAAATTTGAAAATTAGTTTTTAAATTACTCAATTAATCTTCATTTATAGTATATATACCGAATACAAACATGATTACACAAATCAGTTGCATAAAGTTAATTCAATCTAATACTTGTATTTAGGATAGTTTCTATTTTGAAACACAAATGCTTTTTGATTATCTTACGTCTCATCCTGTTCCACAGGATGAGACGCGAAGGCTGCAGACCAAACGCATCAACGTACGTCGCGGTGCTGAAAGCTTGCAGCAGCAGTATTCCTTCCAGTCTAGACCTTGGGAGCGAAGTCAAGGCTCTGATCTACCGTGGACCCACCCTAGTTGACTTTCACGGCAACGCTGGAGACATGGTTTCCGCTCTCCAGGTATTTGACTCGCTAGCGGGAGATGGTGACGAGGCCTGGAGTGCGCTGATCGCCGGATACAGCAGGCAAGGGGACGCAAGCCAAGCGCTGACGCTGTTTCGCGAGATGGTAAACTCTGGCATTAAACCGAATGGTATCACAGCTCTCGCAGTTCTAACCATTTGCAGCCATGCTGGTTTCGTCGAGGCAGGGAAGAAGTTCTTCCACGAAATGCCATCCAGATACGGCCTCATCCCCGAAGAGGAACACTTCCACTGCGTTGTCGATCTTCTCAGCAGAGCAAACCAGCGGGAAGAAACTCTCGCGCTGGGTCAAGGTATGACGAAGCGCTGGAACTTTGAAGCAAACGAAGTAACTTGGACTACCATTACAGGCACTCGCGGAGTGGAATCCAGGAGTAGAGACGCTACGCTTGTCGCAAACCAAGAATGGCCGTCGTGATGCGTGAACAGTTTGTATATAGAGCTCTCCCATTTCGTAAACTTTACTACGCGCTGAGCGAGAGCGAGCGCTAGAGATGGGAGCAGCAGCCGCAAAACTTGCTGCTCTAGCTGCTCTACTATCGCTCTTCTTCTCAGGTACTTCCATCTTACGTTCTCTTTAGTTTTTTTTACCAGAGATGGCTTTCGTCCAGACATGGTGTAGTAAACGAATGCCAGTTCTCCGCAATAGTGGAATTCACATGAAAGGAGGGTGTCTTCCTCGAGCCGTCCAAGTAGCGGTCCAGCTATGAGGAAGAATTCTACTCAATCCTCCTGGTCCATTGAGCTTGGCCGAGTTTACAGTGGCCAAGAACGGCAAGGACACAATGGATATAAGCCTGGTGGATGGTTTCGACGTTGGAGTGGCGGTGAATCACAGCGGAGGAGGATGCATTCGAAATGGAAGCCCGGCTCCGAGCGGGATCGAGTGCCGGATCGGCTTGGAGCAGTGAGATCAGTGAAGGATGATCCCCACTTGCAATCCCGGGGGAGACTACACGGTGGTGTTCGTGCCTTTGGTAATTGGAAGTTTTGAGACCTCTCAAGTAGACTCTCAAGACCCTCTTCACGATATTTTCGTCTCCATGGCATACTAACATTGCTCTTACATGGAATGCACCACAGAGTCTTCAAGCATTATTCTGCTGAAAATGCGTTGTCAGCGTCTTCTAAACAACCTAAATGTGAAAAACTTCGGCATAGAATGATTCGGTATATCATAGCAATCTATGTGATCAAGTTTTTCTCTGGGACTTGATCAAACGTTTTCTTCGTGTCTTCTATGGAACCTAGAGATTAAGCATTACATTCCATGACACCAAGTTGTATTCTGGCATCTCGCAAAAAACAGAGGGCCGAGCTCTCAATTTGCCCGTTTTGGGCATTAGAGTTTCACTAAACCGTGTCCCGGATTTGATCAAAGGCACAACAATACATTGATTTACTAATTCGATTTATACACTATTCTTCCGTTGTGACGTACACAATTTTCTCAAAGTACTCACGAGGAACTACACCATCGAAGCCTTCAGTGAGCACAACCCCGTTTTCGGACATGAAGAACTTCATGCCATCCTTCATGGCTTTGGCCAAATCCAAGTATATGAGCACCTCACAGTTGCTCCTCATCCCACTTATCACACCGTCTTGAGGCAAACCCGTCGCAAAGTGTATATGGTTCCTCTTCATTCGCTTGAGACCCGTTTTGCGAATCCCCCTAAAGTTGTTTCGAAAGGTGCCGTGGACGCACACAGGCACTTCGTCGGCGGACTTGATCTCCCTTAGCAGCTCCGTTGTCTGCACAACATCCATGGTATGACCTTGGTTGGCCCGTATGTAAACTTGGCCGTCGTCCTCCTCGATAGTTGAGAATCTCTGCTTTGGATCGCAGGCTACCATGTTGATCACGTCGGCTACTGTGAATGAAGCGAGCGGGATTCCATCGCTAGCTTTCACGTCCAACTCTAGCAAATCCTTGATATTGCAATATCCGTCGCTGCGAATCTTCAAATCCATTTTGACAGCACCATGCCTCAAAACCCACGCAATAGTCTTACTCAACATGTCAAGCTATTAGGGCCCTTAACAAGGTTATATATAAACATGTTTAACCTTTTATGTTGTTGGAGTTATAAAAGTTACACAAAAGTTACCTGTTAAGAGAGGCGTTAACTTACCAGAATATTCACACAAAATCTTGCATTGGGGGTTTAGGGTTTAAGGAATTTAGGGCAGGAGAAAGGGGGCGATGGAAGGAATCTTTCGCTCTAGCAGCAGCGATCGCGCGTCACTGGCCAAGACGAAGATCGTGTGCACGCTAGGCCCCAAGTCTCGCGAGATCCCCATTCTCGAGAATCTCCTGCGCGCCGGCATGAATGTGGCGCGCTTCAATTTCTCGCACGGATCTCACGACTACCACCGCGAAACGGTCAGCAATCTCCGCGCGGCGATGGCCAGCACGAAGATCCTGTGCGCCGTGATGCTCGACACGAAGGTGAGCGATGGATCTCGGAAATCTTTTTCCTTGAGTCGTTCCTCCAGGGGCCAGAGATTCGCACTGGAATGCTCAAGGATGGAGCTCCAATCCAGCTGAAAGAGGGGAATGTCATCACGATCACCACGGACTACAGCATCCAGGGCAACGAGACGACGATCGCGATGAGCTACAAGCGGCTCGCGGAGGATCTAGCTCCAGGGAACGTGATCCTCTGCGCCGACGGCACGATCACGTTCACGGTGGTCTCCTGCGATCCAAGCGCCGGGACGATCGTGTGCCGCTGCGAGAACACGGCTGTTCTTGGCGAGAGGAAGAACGTCAATCTCCCAGGCGTCGTCGTGGATCTTCCAACCGTGACCGAGAAGGACGTGAAGGACATCCTGGAGTGGGGCATTCCCAATAGCATCGATTTCATCGCTCTCTCCTTCGTCCGCAAGGCCCAGGATCTGATCAACGTGAGGAAGCTCTTGAGCGATCATCACCCCACCGCGGCAAGAACAATCCAGATCATCTCCAAGGTTAGCTTTTTCTTTCGTTTCTCTTGATGGATCATAGTTTTTCTTACATGATCTCTTGGAAGTTTAGATCGAGAACCAGGAAGGACTGGTGAACTTCGACGAGATCCTCCGTGAGTCGGACGCGATCATGGTGGCCAGGGGCGATCTCGGCATGGAGATCCCAACGGAGAAGATCTTCCTGGCGCAGAAGATGATGATCTACAAGTGCAACGCCGCTGGAAAGCCCGTGATCACCGCGACGCAGATGCTAGAATCCATGATCAAGTGCCCGAGACCCACGAGAGCCGAGGCCACGGACGTCGCCAACGCAGTCCTCGACGGCACCGACGCGGTGATGCTCAGCGGTGAGACCGCCGCGGGGCTCTATCCGGAGCTCGCGGTAGCAACCATGGCCAAGATCTGCGTCGAGGCCGAGAACTCGCTCGACTACCCGGCCATCTTCAAGGCGATCATGGATCAATCGCTACTGCCGCTCAGCCCGCTCGAGAGCCTGGCTTCCACGGCGGTCCAGACGGCCAAGGAGGTGAAAGCTTCGCTCATCGTGGTGCTGACGCGGGGTGGTACCACGGCGAAGCTGGTAGCGAAGTATCGACCAATGGTACCGGTTCTATCGATCGCGGTGCCGGTGGTGAGGACGGATAGCTTGACGTGGTGGTGGAGTAGCGAGTCTCCGGCGCGGCATAGCTTGGTGGTGAGGGGATTGGTGCCATTGCTAGCGCAAGGAGACTGGAAGGCAACGGAGGCGGAGTCTTGCGAGGAGATTTTTGGGGCGGCGGTGAAGTATGCTGTGGAGAGGAAGATGTGCCGAGCTGGGGAATCGATTATAGCGCTCCAGAGGATTGGGGATGCTGCGGTGATCAAGATCATTGCAGTGTGATTGATGGAAGAGAACTATTGAGTCAACGATATATTGTTCTTTAATCTCTAGCGGTTTAGGGTTTAAGAGCTCAGCTGCTCGAGGAGATCACGAGAGTTTGTGTCTTGTGACCGGGGAGAGAGTAAGTCCTTCATCTTCTTGTTGAGATCTATCTTCGAGTCTTATGTGATGCAAACCATTCCAACCTAGACCGCCAAGAAAGTAAGTCCCTTCATCTTCATGCTGGTTTTCATAAACAAGTATATGCTTTGCAGAACTGGCACACAAGATGCCTGGCTGTGCAATTGTGGCATCTAAAAAATGAAAGTATATTATATAATAATCCATATACATTGGGAGATTAACGTAAAATATAAAGTTTTTTTCTATTAAGTAAGCTTTATCTTGAATTACAATATTTCAGAAACTAAGGTATGTTCGTGGAAGTCCAAAATTACCTTCAGAAACTGATGTAGAAACTGGGATGCATATCCTCCAAATCATATGTATATATTGCATCCAGCCACTGGAGCTTATTCAGCAGGAGATGTGCATTCTTCCTCATTATGATCTTGTGTGGAAAGGAAGTGACCATCCAAAAGAAACACATTCCACCTATCTAGGACTGCGTTCTAAGGTCTCTCAGCTAGGCATGGCTCCAACTGTAAAGGGAACTTAAAGACCTGAGCTCTTGTTGAGTGCGCATGCCAAGGCCAAAGCTGGTTTATGCTTGGTTTAAAAATAAGAAGCGCACTTACAAGCTTGAAAAGCTGACGAAGTAATCCTTGATCTCAAAATATTAGTGACTTTTTACTGAGCGAAAGAGCCTTGCCCCAGCGTGTGGATAATATTTCTTAGGTGCAATTGAAACAAAAAATATGCACTCATATGCAATCATATATCCCTTGCCAAATGCATGAGCCAATCCTATCCACCAAAGAATAGGAAACCTCAAAAGTTTGTATACTAATTTATCCTTTAGGGGTTCTAAAAATGAGTTGCCTTAATGGCAAACCAAAATAGATGGTTTTGAAAAATAGAGCAGATTGATTTCATTCTTAGTAAATTCTTTTGGACAGACATAATTGATATATTTAGAAATTAAATTCTTATATTGTTTACAACCCTTTAAACCTAACATATTTTTATATTGAAGCTTTTGTAAGTATTGATATTAAAGAGTTAAGCAACGTTTAGTAAAACATTCGATTTATATAAAGAGAATTTAGGGCATTCAATGGAAACGCTGGACTCCAAGATCAGGGTCATGCTTCGCAGTATGAAGAATGTTCCAGTCACAGCCCCCAGGAACTTGAGGATTGGGCATCCCGAGGTGAGCCCACTGGGGGACTTCATGTACCCAATTGAGTATCCAGAACCGCCCACGGCCCAATTTCGTTGCGGCTTGTATGCGCTTGTGAGATCCGAGTTTTACCATCGCTACGATCATGGCAAACGCATGATGCGCCATTTGTACACCATCACAAGAGAAGGTGGCGACGTAGAGAAGTACCAAGTTGTGCTGGCGGAAGACTCGCTTGGAGAGACAATCAAGGGGTTTTCGAGAATGGATTGGGAGGATTGTGCGATCCCTGAGAATGGGGAGCTTAGGCAAGGGGAGAGGCGGTGTTCTCCGAGGAGGGAGATGACGAGTTATGAAGTTCCATCCAAGGCGGTTGAAAGACTAGACTTGATGATGAGCCAAGATAGAATCTTCCCATCATGTAGAAACTTTGTGAAATGAAGACAAGCTCTTCTCAAGCTTTCGTGAGAGGATTTCGCAGCATCAAAATGGCCACTCTCACATCAAAAGTATCAAGATCTAGGCAAACCTTTTCTTTGGAGGACGTTCTCGCGACTTCCCTCATCCGAGGTAAGAGTGGCTTCCACAGCCAAGCTGTAGAACGGAGGTGCCAGATGCATGCAGGGAGTCGTTCCTTTAAAGAGCTCGCGGCTGTTGGTATCGCGCGGCTTGGATGTGAGGATGTCTTTGCTACCGAGAGAGAGAGAAACAAATAATTGATCGATGGAAACAGCAGCTGTATTACCTGGATACAAAGACAAGTTTTTTAAGGACCTGCAATACGTTCTTCGAAGGCCGTGAGATAGTAAGACAACTACTCTCGCAAAATCTGAAAACGAGCTACCTGATCAAGACGGTCAGAATCTTGCAGGAACCAATTTTTCTTGGGGAACAAACTGGGGGAAAAAGGGGGAAACTCTCGAACCAAACCTCAAAAAAGGCCGGTAAATGTCTTCGGGAGATCGTCGAACAATGCAGCACGCTTAATCGGATCCACTGACATGAATTCAAAGAATTATGGTTCAGTCATTCCTTCAAAAGCTATGGACTTGAGCTTACTAGAGGGCAACGCTACCACACACTCCACCGTTTCTTCCTTCGTGATGTTGTCAAGTATCACATAAGAGACACCATTCTGCCAGAACGAAACGAGAAATCAAATCCAATTCAATAAAAAACCACCATCGCCACCTTCACACAAGAGAGCCTCAAACAACTCTAGAGCAGCCACACTTTCGTCGTTCTGTGCGTATCCAGAGCTCACTGCGTTCCAGATAACAACGTCGCGATCGGTTGAAAACTCTGCGAGAATCAGCCATGCTCCAACACTTACCATACATGTCGACCAAGCAGCTTGCCACGTACAAGTCTTCCAGATCAAAGCCTCTCTCTGATACCAACGAGTGCACCGCCATTCCGGCTTCCAGCGAACGCAGCGTCACGATCTTCCCATCGACTTGCCTTCCTGTTCTTGAGTTGAGAGACTACTACAAGCCTTCAGCACAGCCACCAAAGACTGGGAGTGTAGCAAATCTCCAAAGAGTTGAAGGGCCATCTTTCCCTCATCGTTCTCAGTTGAGAAGAGCGTTGGCTATGAATATGTTTGAGTCACATCGCAGTCTGTCCGCCGTGCCGTGGATCGCCACACCCGTAACTAGAAACCTGAGCTTCTCCTGTGGATTCCGAGCTTCTTCCTTGGCTCCGAGGCCTGGAGAGCAGCGACAACACTCCAGCTATGGAGCTGACAGCCTCGGGACGACACCATATTCATAAACATCTCTAGAGTTAGCTCCTCGTTCTCACCATCCTGTGTATAGCCGAGCATCAAAACGTTCCACGAGACCACATCCCGACTTTTCATCTTGTCGAAAACCTCTTGAGCATGCACCATGCTCCGGCACTTCACGTACATGTCGATGAGAGCATTCCGCATGTAGACATTGCAAAGGATAGGATCTGTTCTCATCCCAGCCTCGGCTTGACGATGGCCTTCTTCGGCAGCTGCCAGAGGCGAGCGCAGCGGCAAAAGTTCGTGCGTTTGCTGCGCAGCACTGTTGTATCGATCCAAAGAGCTGCAAGGCCATCTCGTCCTCGCCATTCTCCGCATAGCCACTTCGTCGGGGCGAGGAATCCTGTCGAAGGCCTGCTGTGCTTCCACCACGCTGCCACACTTCATGTACATCGCCACCAAGTCCGACTCTCGCGTTCGCGTGATCTTTCGACGTCTCTAGCCCTGGAGCACAACTTTAGCGCCGCGAGACAAGCGCTTCTCTCGAGCTGATAAGCACGCCGGTCTTGGTGCTGATCTTTTTTCTTTTTTTTTGTGATCACTGGATTTGTGTGCTCGCTCGCCAGGGTTTTCCTCTGCGTACCAAGTCACTTACATTGTCAACCGGTCGTATCCAATTCGTGAACAAAAATGGCATAGGAGTAATCGATCATATGCTGGAACCGATAACAATGTCCTAATTCCACGCAAGGCTGTGCAACGTAGGATTGTTTTTCGAGTCGAGGCAGGCATAGACTCGCAGCTGCTTGTCACTCGGCTGCCTGTTTATCGTCCCGCGATTTCACGTTGTCTCAAATCGAGCAGGAGAGAATGGAATGGAATGGTTCTCGATCATCACCACCGAGAAGTAAGCTTTCTACCTTTTTTGGCCTGGAGGGCTGATCGATCCAACTTTTTTGCTGGAAAAACGGGCCAGTGTTCTCTCATCTCGCCGGAAGAACTACCATATGCTCTCCTATCGGCTGTGAAAACTTTAGGATCCAGCAAGTCGTGGACAAAATTGGCTCTAAAGCGCTCGAAAATTTGCCTTCGTCGGGACATCTTGAAAAGCCGTCCACGCTTCTTTGAGCGCCATCTCCTCAGCTTCCTCTTTCCAATTGATTGGTCTAGAGTTTGGCACGGATCCTCGATGCTAGAAATCAGGACCTGGAACCAAATCACCTATCCTTGCGGATCACGAAGATGGGACAAGCGAAACCCTAAAATAAAAAAGTTTATGTACTGGGTTGACTCTTCATTGACTTTCATTGACTACCTGGGCTCTTCGTTTGTAAGCTATTTGGGTGGGAAGAAGAGCGTCGTGTGTCCTGCGAGACCGCATCTGAACTCCATCTTCCACGTTAAAAGCCGCGCAAATCGTTTTGGGCGACAAGCTCTTGATCGCTCCATGCTGGAAACAATGGAAACTCTGCCTCCGTTTTTTATATCCACGTTGAGATTTGCCAAGCAAACGTTGCATTATTGCATGAATATTCGAAGAATAAACATAAATGGAGAATATGTTGGCGGTTTAGGGCTCATCTTTTCTGTCCACGAACGGTGGAGATCTAATGGGGGATTGTCTCGTGGCTTTGTATTCAGGTAATATAGTTATTGTTTTTGTTTTTTCTAGCCGTGAGCTCATTTGGCTGAGACCACAGTGTACTACAGGCCGTGAAACTCCTGACTACCTTGATAGACATCGACTAAGCTGGTTTTCAACAGCGGTGGTCTTGTTTTTCGTGTTTTTCTTTCGGAACTCTGTTTCGGAACTCTGATTTGAACTTTTATTTAGCGAACATTCATGGAGGCACCAAAGATGGTGCAAACAGAAAAACATACCTCAGAAGTAAAGGATTCTGAAGTGGAATGCTACTCCAGGTCATACTCTCACAATCCAGAAAAAACAGCTTATACTTATCCGGAATCATTAAGGTGCCTTCGTAAAAACAGATTGGAAGAAGAGGAATGTGGCCCTCATTGTAAGGAAAGCTTGTCTCCTCAACAAATCTCTTTGATGCACAGTCCAACCTTATCAGCATCATCTTCAGAACCCCAAAATCGTTTACCACAGCCACCTTGAAAAACTGTGTTGCTGGTGTTACCACCCAATTGTACACATTCCAGCAAGCTTCAACAGGGGAATGGCCCATGAAAGATGACCACTCAACAGTCCATCTCATTTCTTCCATGTTGAAGCTCAAAGCCCCCCACATACGTTCATGTTCGCATGGAAAATAAGCGTTGCTGTTGGCCATCCCAACTCCATTTTCGAGACGATTCCAGCCAGGAAGATAATCCACCTTGTCCCACACTCCTGATCTCGAGCTATATACCAGCAATTGCTTTTTTTTGTTACACCGCTACACAAATCCAGTAACCCTGCATACACGGTTCCAAAACCAGGGCAGAACGCCATACTATTACTACTTTCAGGGGTGGCGGCGGGAGCACCTTGAGAGCTGTGGTGAGCGGATTGAGAACAACATAGTCATTGCCCATCTGTCCAAACACCAATCCACCACAGGCCTTGAAAACCCTGATGTTGATGGTAAACATCCCTGACGGACCCAACCCTTCTGTGTTTGAGATCCAGCAGCAAACGGGTTTGCACCGATACACTCCCTTACCGAAAGAAGTTACTCCCAAGACATGAGGAGGGCAAATCTGCTTGTTTCTAGAGTGGTGCGCTGAATGAAACTTTCCAAATCCTGGTGAGTCTACGAGATCCCTCCACCGCTTGCACACGACTCTGATGCGGCGGTGCAAAACAACTGCTGGCAAGAGCTTCAACACCTCCTCCTCAACTATGTTGTCCATACCTGCCCTATTACGGAAAGGGCCTCTTTTAATCCCCGTTTACTTCAAAGGATAATGATCGTCCAAGTCGAGGAAGAAGATGGAGTAACTCTTCCCAAGAGCTACTGGGATCCAGGAGGATGGGAAGGAACAGCTCCTTGGTCTTCACAAGAATCTGCTCGACATATGGATCGAATTCTCCGCAAAAGTGGTGTTGTTGCAATTGCCCTTTTATTGGGGCGTAAGGGATATTGTTTCCTCGAAGGCCATTCCTCCAGACAGTGTTGACGTAAGTGAGGCCGGAGACGATGTTGTGACTGACAACGAAGGTAAAACTCCTTGAGAGTGAAGGTATGGCTCTTAGACGCGAATGACAGCGCTCAAACTTCTCAATCGCTTCACTCACTCACGTTCACTCGCTCTGGTGGGGATCAAAAACAGTCCCCCATGCCCGTCGTTGCTCGCCTAGGAGTGGTGTCAAACCGGTTGTTGCCGCGACACTTTCCAATGGCCGCATGCTCGGGCCTGCTCTGTGGCGTCCTCAGAGACGACTTCTTGACTGATTTGGAGCCACCATTGTCGCGTATGGCCGTTGCGGGTGGCTGTTTGCGCACCGGATTCCAACTTGAGCTTCCTGTTGTGGAAGTGACCTTTGCAAACGCGAGTGCTCCTGATTTTGCGTTTGGACCGGGTCAGATCAACTTAAGAATAAGATCAGGCAACCAGGAGCAGTTTAGCATTCACCTGCTCTATGGACGGTAGCTGGAGGTCACAGCGTTTATACAGCGTTTCCCATGTCTGGAAGTCATCGCATACTGACGGGACATCTTGCTGGGGAGTTCATCTTCCGGGATAGCAAGCTGCAGGCTTACGACCTGCGCACTGAGGCAATGGCAATCCCAGGTGCCAAAGCTTTGAACGACTTCCCGCTGCCTCAAGAACTCAAACTCGCGGGCTACATTTATCGCAGGCTTGATCCTTGCATTACGGGCCCAAGGTGATCGTGGTTGGCCAGTGCGAACTCATAATAGGTCATCTTTTCAAGGGAGGCATCGTATTGCTGGAGCTGGATGAACAAGAAGAATGCGGGCGTCACTGGAAGGTGGTTACGTGGGCAAAAGCGGAGCAGTTTGCAGATAATGACACGCCACATTCACGATTCATTACCCATTTTCCTCTTCAAGGTGGCGATCTGGTGGTGCTGAACGAAAAAAAGCAGGTTCGATTCTGGACCAGGCTGTAGCTTTTCATCTCAAGCATCATAATTGGTTGGAACTTCCTACAAGAGCGTGCGGTGGCCTCCTCGGTCTCCTGACAGCCTGCAATGGAGGAGGAGGATAAATTTTGCGTCTACAGCTCGTAATCTTCGTCAAATAATAGGACAAACAAATAACAAAAACAGCGCAACAATGGAGGGAGGAGGCAGGATCTCAAGAGATGTACCATGAATTACTGTGTATGCACTCGAAAACAAGAAATAAATACGATTGCCAAGAAGGAAGCTAGAAAATAAAAGTGCTTCAGCCTTCAAAAGCATGTTCATCGTCTCTGCTTATTTGCTGGAAGTAAGTCAAATCCTACAGTTTAGAAATTTCACTTGACATATACGTCGTCGTGATAAAAAGCGTACTTTGATCCTCGAATTTATCCCAGTCATTGCGTGTTGCTGATGCCAAACGAAATACTAATGCTCACTGTTTCTGCATAAGATAAGTACCATTGCAGAACGCAAGCCAGGCTTTTACTCAGTAACCTGATGTTCCGCAACCCAATCTTTCCTATGACATTCTTCTTTGCTGCTGACAAAGAAACTGCGGTTTAGCTCAAAAGAAAACAAACTAAAAAGTGTAACCTGGATATTATCCACCAGCCTTGACAATGTCGTAATCACACGCAAGGCTGTGCGACGTAGGAGTGTTTTTAGAGTCGAGGCAGGCATAGACTCGCAGCTGCTTGTCACTCGGCTGCCTGTTTATCGTCCCGCGATTTCACGTTGTCTCAAATCGAGCAGGAGAGAATGGAATGGAATTGTTCTCGATCATCACCACCGAGAAGTAAGCTTTCTACCTTTTTTGGCCTGGAGTGTCTGATCGATCCAACTTTTTTGCTGGAAAAACGGGCCAGTGTTCTCTCATCTCGCCGGAAGAACTACCATAAGCTCTCCTATCGGCTGTGAAAACTTTATGATACAGCGAAGTCGTGGACAGGATAAAAAAAAATTTGGCTCTACCCAAAGCGTTCGAAAATTTGCCTTCGTTGATTCGGGACATCTTGAAAAGCCGTCCACGCTTCTTTGAGCGCCATCTCCTCAGCTTCCTCTTTCCAATTGATTGGTGTAGAGTTTGGCACGGATCCTCGATGCTAGAAATCAGGACCTGGAACCAAATCACCTGTCCTACATTGCCGAGAATCTCATCCTTGCGGATCACGAAGATGGGACAAGCGAAACCCTAGAATAAAAAAGTTCATGTACCCTTGCATTGACTGAGTTGACTCTTCATTGACTTTCATTGACTGCTCTTCGTTTGTAAGCTATTTGGGTGGGGAAGAAGAGCGTCGTGTGTCCTGCGAGACCGCATCTCAACTCCATCTTCCACGTTAAAAGCCGCGCAAATCGTTTTGGGCGACAAGCTCTTGATCGCTCCATGCTGGAAACAATGGAAACTCTGCCTCCGTTTTTTATATCCACGTTGAGGTTGCATTATTGCATGAATATTCGAAGAATAAACATACATGGAGAATATACTGGCGATCTTTTCTCTTCTTTTCTCGCAGGTAGCTCGTTCGGAGATTTTGCGAGAGAAGTTGTCCACGAACACAGGCGGTGGAGATCTAATGGGGGATTGTATCGTGGCTTTGTATTCAGGTAATATAGCTATTGTTTCCATCGATCCACCGAATGATTTGTTTTTTCTATCCCTCGGCAAACAGCCGTGAGCTCATTTGGCTGAGACCAGTGTCCTACAGGCCGTGAAACTCCTGACTACCTTGATAGACATCGACTCAGCTGGTTTTCAACAGCGGTGGTCTTGTTTTTCGTGTTTTTCTTTCGGAACTCTGTGCATGTGGCTCCTCTCGTTCTACGGCTTGGCTCTCGATTTGCACGGGACATGGTCGAGCACGGGATGCCAAGAACGTTAAAAGCGTGGACTGACGAGGTAAGAGCCTTGCTTTTTCAAGCTCGCATGTAAATCCGTGTTGGCTGGTCAGAAAATCTGACATGGCTATGGTAACTTTGGGATTTACTTTGGGATTTGCAGGTACAGGTAAGAAAAAACGCTTCAAAGACAAACGGATCTGAAATGATTTGAACTTTTATTTAGCGAACATTCATGGAGGCACCAAAGATGGTGCAAACAGAAAAACATACCTCAGAAGTAAAGGATTCTGAAGTGGAATGCTACTCCAGGCCATACTCTCACAATCCAGAAAAAACAGCTTATACTTATCCGGAATCATTAAGGTGCCTTCGTAAAAACAGATTGGAAGAAGAGCAATGTGGCCCGCGTTGTAAGGAAAGCTTGTCTCCTCAACAAATCTCTTTGATGCACAGTCCAACCTTACCAGCATCATCTTCCGAACCCCAAAGTCGTTTACCACAGCCACCTTGAAAAACTGTGTTGCCGGTGTTACCACCCAATTGTACACATTCCAGCAAGCTTCAACAGGGGAATGGCCCATGAAAGATGACCACTCAACAGTCCATCTCATTTCTTCCATGTTGAAGCTCAAAGCCCCCCACATACATTCATGTTCGCATGGAAAATAAGCGTTGCTGTTGGCCATCCCAACTCCATTTTCGAGGCGATTCCAGCCAGGAAGGTAATCCACCTTGTCCCACACTCCTGATCTTGAGCTATATACCAGCAATTGCTTTTTTTTGTTATCCGCTACACAAATCCAGTAACCCTGCATACACGGTTCCAAAACCAGGGCAGAACGCCATACTATTACTACTTTCAGGGGCGGCGGCGGGAGCACCTTGAGAGCTGTGGTGAGCGGATTGAGAACAACATAGTCATTGCCCATCTGTCCAAACAGCAATCCACCACAGGCCTTGAAAACCCTGATGTGATTGTAAACATCCTGACGGACCCAACCCTTCTGTGTTTGAGATCCAGCAACAAACGGGTTGCACCGATACACTCCCTTACCAAAAGAAGTTACTCCCAAGACATGAGGAGGAGGGTAAATCTGCTTGTTTCTAGAGTGGTGCGCTGAATGAGACTTTCCAAATCTTGGTGAGTCTACGAGATCCCTCCACCGCCTGCACACAACTCTGATGCGGCGGTGCAAAACAACTGCTGGCAGGAGCTTCAACACCTCCTCCTCAACTATGTGCACCAGAATGTCCATAACTGCCCTACCCTATTACGGAAAGGGCTTCTTTTAATCCCCGCTTGGTTAAAAGACGAGGAAGAAGATGGAGTAACTATTGGGATCCAGGAGGACGAGAGTTTGCGGTGGAAGGAACAGCTCCTTGGTCTTCACAAAAATCTCCTCGACATATGGATCGAATTCTCCGCAAAAGTGGTGTTGTTGCATGCCCTTTTATTGGGAGGTAAGGGATATTGTTTGTTTCACCGAGGGTCGTCCACACTTATTCATACCCTTGTCTTTGCCGGAATCCCACAGGGTGTTGTAGTTAAGTACTGTTCGAGTGTGGTCCACTGTAAAAGTCGTGTTTTGCTAGGACCAAATGGACACTCCATTGAGTGTTCTTTCATCTCGCTGGAAGAACTGGAGTGATCAAAACGATTTGTGCGTGGAAGATGGAGTGCTGCGGTCTATCTTCTTCCCAAAATAGCTTACAAACGAAGAGCCAATGCAAGTCAATGAAGAGTCAACCCAGTCAATGCAAGGGCATATTCAAAGATGTAATTGAGAACTTTTTTATAGGGTTTCGCTCGTCCCATCGCCCGCGCGAGGATCCGGCAAGCTGCAAGAATGAGATTCTCGGCAATGTAGGACAGGAGATTTGTTTCTTGGAGTTCCAGGTCCTGATTTCTAGCATCGAGGATCCGTGCCAAACTCTAGACCAATCAATCGGAAAGAGGAAGCTGAGGAGATGGCGAGAGCAAACATTCTTTTCAAGATGTTCCGAATCAACGAAGGCAAATTTTCGAACGCTTTGATGCTGGAAGGTAGAGCCATCCTTACTATGCTGTCCAGGACTTCGCTGGATCCTAAAGTTCTCACAGCCGATACGAGGTACTACCGGCAACGCTCATCAGCTCGAGATAAGCGCTGGCCTTGCGGCGTTAAAGTCGTGCTCCAGAGCTAGAGACGTCGAAAGAGTCCGGCAAATCCACGCGAACGCGAGTGGACTCGGACTCTCATATAGCCAGTAGCTTGGTGGCGATGTACATGAAGTGTGGCAGCATGGTGGAAGCACAGCAGGCCTTTGACAGAATTCCTATGCTGAAACGCTTTGATCTGCACGATCAAATGCAGAAGAACGAAAAAGAGAAATCAAATCCAATTCACTCCAAAAATTAGTGCAAATCTGATGCTCTCAAAGTATGAGGAGAGAGGAATAGACTGCTTGAGAAGAGCTTGTATTCATTTCGCAAACTTTCTACATGGTGGAAAGATTCTATCTTCGTCCCCGCCCATCATCGATGCTAGTCTTTCAACCGCCCTGGGGAGAACGTCATGGCGCCCCATCTCACTCCTCGGCCAGCACCGCCTCTCGCCATCCCTAAGCTTCCCATTCTCAGGGATCGCACAATCCTCCCAGTCCCTTCTCGAAAACCCCTTGATTGCGATCCCACGCGAGTCTTCGACCAGCCCAACCTGGTACTTCTCAACCTCGCCGCCTTCTCTGGTGATGGTGTACAAATGGCGCATCATCCGCCTGCCCTGATCGTTCTCAGGGTAGAACTCGGACCTCACAAGCTCGTACACGCCGTGGCCGGGCAATTCGGCCGTGGGCGGCTCTGGATACTCGATCGGGTACATGAAATCCCCCATTGGACTCACCTGGAGATCCCCAATCGTGAATTTCTCCGGGGCTCTGACGGGAACATGCTTCATAGTGCGAAGCATGACCGCGATGAACTCCAGCGTCCCATCAGCCATTGAGTGCCCTAAAAATTTCCAAGAACCCTAAAAAGCAGAGCCCTAAATATTCAAGAGAAAGGATATCTTTAGAATATGCTCATTTTTACCACTCTCTGCCCTAAATTTTGGTTATGGCGCTCGCGCCCGAGGCGGTGCTCTACTCCGGCTGCTTGTGGCGGCAGTCAAGGATCTTCTCCTCTCCGAGCTCCGTGGTATGTCACAGCAGCAGCAGGAGCAGGAATCGACGTAGCAGCGGCCGATTGAGCTCCGCATTCTTGGCTGGGAGGAGGGATTGGAGCAGGGGTTTAGGGTTTAAGAGGGAGAGCGCAGCAGCAGCAGCAGCCGCGGCGGCCGTGGATTCTTCCACTAGCGAGGTAGAATCGGCGGCGGAAGCGTTGAAGCTCGAGGAAGAATCGGCCGCGGAAGGTGTAAAGCTCGAGGAAGAATTGGTGAGAAAGGAAGAGGAAGATGGAGCTGCTGGGAGTTCTAAGAGAGACGAAGAGGTGGAGTTTGAGAAGGGATTCAGCATGAGGAGGGTGTGTGACAGGTTGATCGAGGTGTTTATGGTGGACAGGCCCGATCCAGACGAGTGGAGAAAATTGCTAGCGTTTAGCCAGGAGTGGAGGAGGATTCGTCCTTACTTTTACGAGCGATGCAAGGCGCTGGCAGAGTCCGAGGACGATCCGAGAAAGATGGGAAATCTTTACAAGCTCTCCAGAAAATTGAAAGAGGTATAAAGCTTTTCTTGTGTTCTAGGCTGTGTGAGATTTTGTCTTAAGTTTTAGCTAAGTTGTTTTTTATCTTTCTTTCCAGGTAGATGACGAGATGATAAGGCACGATGAGCTGCTCGAGGAGATCGAAGTTAACGAGACGGAGATAGATGTCATTGTTGCCAAGCGTCGGAAGGATTTCACGAGCGATTTCTTCAAGCATCTTCGAGTTTTATGTGATGCAAACCATTCCAACTTAGATCGGCGAGAAAGTAAGTCCTTTCCTTCATCTTCATGCTGGTTTTATGAACAAGTCTATGCTCTGCAGAACTGGCACAATTGGCAGCAAGATGCCTGGCTAGCGTCGAAGAGTATGACAAAGGTGCTGAGAACAGTGTAGCCTTGGATGCTGCTCGCCGGAAGTTTGATGACATCCTGAACTCCTCGTCCCTGCAAGATGCCTGCAAGAAGATTGACACCCTCGTCAAGAACAAGCAGTTTGATCCGACACTGATGCTGGTGATCAGCAAAGCTTGGGCTGCTGCAAAGGAATCACCACTGATGAAAGAGGAGGTACAGTCTAGTGAAAAGGAAACGACAATCTCATTTGTTTGTGTTAATTTTCCAGGTGAAAGACATAATGTTTCATCTGTATAATGTCGCCAAAGGAAATATGCAAAGGCTCGTCCCAAAAGAAGTCCGGATCTTGAAGCATCTGCTGACGATTGAAGATCCTCGAGAAAGACTCGGTGCTCTGGCGCAGGCATTCTCCCCTGGAGACGAACTTGAGGGGAAAGATATCGACCTGTTATACACGTAAGTGAGCAACCAAATGCAAGTTTTTTTGTGATCTCTGTGCTCTTTCCAGGACTCCAAACAGGCTCTACAGGCAGGTGCTGTTCATTCTCGACGCTTACTACAGTAACAAGGAGAAGACGCTGATCCAAGAGGCTCAAAAGCTCATGGATCCACTCGTGATCAGCAGGCTCGAAATTCTCAGAGATGTGATCAAAACCGAATTCCTATGAGCAAGCTTTTGTAAAGATTAATAGATGTATTGCATCCTACTTTTGTGTTCCATTCATCCTACCACCCTCATGTCCTTGGCGAATTTCACTCCGACCTCGGCAATCGTGGACACAGTCCGCAATGCACGCGGGACCTCGAACGAACGAATCTATATATTATTAGTGAAGATTTCTTTAAAAGTTGGTACAAATTTCTAAAACTATTCAAATCATTTGACAATCATTTCTCTCACATTCCTCCTCTGAGACGAAGACTCTTTCTGCGTCTTCAAGCTGCTTTACTGCAATAAGACACTGCTGATCTTTCACGCGAGCAGTTGATGGTATGAAGGACTTCATTTCCGACTAGCTTCATCTTGCAGTTCGGCTGCAACTTAAACTACAACATGGAAAAATGCAAGGACTCAGCATCAAACAAAGAAAAAAAAATGTTCAGTTCCCACCTCAGGCAGCAGCTTGCGTTTCTTCACAGGTTGCTCCACCATCTGAGCGGGCTCCTTCTTTGGCAGGCAGACAACAACTGCCTCTTGGTCACTATCCCAGCTGAGGCCTTCCACTTCTCTAGAAGAGAAAGGAAAGACAATGTCCACAGAGCACTCCTTGGTAGGAAATGCATTGCTGAAGATTCACCCATCCACGAGACCACTTAGGAAAGTCACTCTGCCTGCAACACAGTGATGAGAATGAATCACATGGATTAACTCAGTCCTCCTTACCTGCAAAGTTGGGGATGTTCAGCGTGATTATGTAACGCTCAGCATTCTCTTGCAGATCCCAAAGATCCGTCGTCGTCCTCAGCTCGGCCAGGTACAATAACAAGTTTCTTTCAAAGTACCTGGAATTCAAGACCTCCCGCTGCTCCTTTCGGATTTCTATCAGCCTCTGCCGGTAGATATTCTCCACCACTTCTGGGGTCCATCCCAGAAACTCGTTTCCAACATGCACACGCATGAAGCCTTGAACAAAATTATACGCGTCAGTCTTCAACAACACACTGGTAACGCCTGCAAGATGAAATGAGTCGTAATCAGTATCTAGCAGGATCATTTGACAAACTTACTCAAAACTTGCAGGCGTGATTGTATGGTTCAACACCTTGACGCTTCCGAAAATGTCAAGAATACCATAATTATACTCCTCTTTTGCCCAGACGTAACAGTAGGGCCTCTCAATCGGGTGAGAACTCTTGAGCTCCTTGAGCAACTTGTTGCAACCGGATGAGCCAACCTGATATATATCTTCAGGAGCCATACTGACCAAACAGAAAATTAGAAAGAAAACAAAATAACGAAAAAAGCTTACATCCACTTTGCCTCTATTGCTGAGGCCGGCTGCCAGAAATTGCATGACATATATTGTTTGTCAAGCCACTCCCGCAGTGCAGATTTTGGTCACGAATTCACACCTCCACCTCTGCAAAATCAACAGAAAAACTGTTAATAAACAAACGAGAAAACTTCACAGTACATACCCTGTCTTCCTTTTTGTACTGGATCTCATGAGACTCCTGAAAGTCAGCTGAGATTTCCACCAAAACGGGTTTCCCGTTGTCTCC